ACTGTTTTAAAATTCAGGGACAAATTCATAGACATATTTCTGACTTACTACCACAAAATGGGGAGTTGCCTTCAAAGTTCATTAATTCCTAAATACGACAACTTAAGTCCAAAACATGGCATCTTTTCAATCTATATACACAGTTACTGTTGTCCAATAAAAAGCAAGGTAGTTAGTATGGTAGTCTAATTTCTTTAAGTATTAAGCACTTAACCTTGTAATTTATTCTTTGACCGTTGGGGTTGGACTGTGCCTGTGAAGCACTTCGGACCATGGTGCCTGGAGAATGTGCCTTTGAACTTTAGATTGAAATCTTTGGATGACGTTCATATTTGATTCACTGCATGGGTGTCCCCCACAGTTGGATATAGTACGTCCACACTGGTTTCAGAACAGTTTTAATAGCAATTTATTTTCTGTTGTTAATTTTGAATTTTTATTTAATAGCCAAGAAAGATTTCTAAATTTTAAATGTAACTAAATTCTCTTGTTCCAGATATGGCTTTTCCAAGTAAGCCTTCTGTCAAGGGTCATGCTGACATGTTTACATGTTGTTTTATTCACAATTTGCATTGTGGTTCAAGTGTGTTCCTTATGTTTTGTGTTTATTTCTAAAGTTATGCGCTTAATCTGTACCAATAATATTAGTGAGTAGTGCCAAAAGTGGTGTATGGATTTCATAACCATTATTTTCCTAGAAACCGTTCTATTTAACAACAGACTCTGTTACTAGTAAATATTCATATAGCTTAAACTCACACCTTTTTATTTATATTTTTTTAAATATTGACATAATAGAAGCTAAATTAATGGACTTTTGAAATTCTTTTGTAATTTGCACCAATAGCGGAACTATTGGTTCATAACTACACGGGACCCTGTGTGGCTGCACCTCTTGCACATGCTTAAGGCCGGCTCTGCGTCTTCCGTTTTTATTTGGATATGGACTAGGGATTAAAGTCAAATGCTCTAGCTTACAAAACAAAATTTATTCTCAAACTAAATCTAGTAAAGAATACAAGGTACTGCAGTACATAAACAATCAAAGCTAAAGAGAATACAAAAGAGTCATTTTCTCCAAAAGTAAAATCCAATAATAAAAATATGCATGAGAGTATAGTAGGCCAACTCTGTGTTTTTATTTTTCAATGGATTCTTGCTTTAGCTTTTGTATTTGTCTTATATTAGATTTGTAACACTTACAGTTGCTGTTGAGGTTGTGGTGGTGAGTATGTAAGTCGCAGAAAAGTGGGAGGGGTCTTAAATTAAAGGTCTTGACCCCAGGGACTCGGGAAAAATAGCAGAATTCCCATAAAGTTACCAGAAAACAAGATATAACGTAAAACATCCACCATAAGAAAAGCATGGGGTGGGGACTGAAAAACGTCTGCATTCTAATCAGCTGTTATTTATTTGCAGTGGGCGCGTTCTGCGAACATCTACCAGTGCACCGGTGCATGTTCCCAGAACGCGCTCAGTGTTTACATTTATTCCGAAAGTCAATGTTGTTAAATAATATTTCAAAATGAAATGTATTTGTTTAATTTTTTGTTTCCCGTTTTTATAATGAGTGAAGTAACTAGACAGGGTAGGGGAAGACCTGCAAGACGTAGAAGAGTATTTAGGAATTCAACTGACACAAGAAATGCTGAAAGAGACCGTCATGTATGGCCTAACTATCAAAGAAATCCACAAGCTGTTTTACAACCTGCCTTGAGAGAACGCTGGAAAATGAGTTGAGTGTTGTTTCTCACAATCTAGGTCCTCTTAACAGCGCTCGCATGCTTTGTGGTCATTGTGGAGCATTTCACTTCGCAAAAGAGGCCACAATTAAATGGACATTTCAACCATCTTACCACAATGGACTCATTAACATGCTGCAACCACAATTAAATGATAAACTAAAAGAAATGTTTTTACATGATTCTAACATCATAAAAAACGTAAGGCATTACAACAGTGCAATGGCTTTTGCATCGCTTTCCGCTACACAAAAAGAGATTCCGGGAAATGGGACTGTTTTAAAATTCAGGGACAAATTCATAGACATATTTCTGACTTACTACCACAAAATGGGGAGTTGCCTTCAAAGTTCATTAATTCCTAAATACGACAACTTAAGTCCAAAACATGGCATCTTTTCAATCTATATACACAGTTACTGTTGTCCAATAAAAAGCAAGGTAGTTAGTATGGTAGTCTAATTTCTTTAAGTATTAAGCACTTAACCTTGTAATTTATTCTTTGACCGTTGGGGTTGGACTGTGCCTGTGAAGCACTTCGGACCATGGTGCCTGGAGAATGTGCCTTTGAACTTTAGATTGAAATCTTTGGATGACGTTCATATTTGATTCACTGCATGGGTGTCCCCCACAGTTGGATATAGTACGTCCACACTGGTTTCAGAACAGTTTTAATAGCAATTTATTTTCTGTTGTTAATTTTGAATTTTTATTTAATAGCCAAGAAAGATTTCTAAATTTTAAATGTAACTAAATTCTCTTGTTCCAGATATGGCTTTTCCAAGTAAGCCTTCTGTCAAGGGTCATGCTGACATGTTTACATGTTGTTTTATTCACAATTTGCATTGTGGTTCAAGTGTGTTCCTTATGTTTTGTGTTTATTTCTAAAGTTATGCGCTTAATCTGTACCAATAATATTAGTGAGTAGTGCCAAAAGTGGTGTATGGATTTCATAACCATTATTTTCCTAGAAACCGTTCTATTTAACAACAGACTCTGTTACTAGTAAATATTCATATAGCTTAAACTCACACCTTTTTATTTATATTTTTTTAAATATTGACATAATAGAAGCTAAATTAATGGACTTTTGAAATTCTTTTGTAATTTGCACCAATAGCGGAACTATTGGTTCATAACTACACGGGACCCTGTGTGGCTGCACCTCTTGCACATGCTTAAGGCCGGCTCTGCGTCTTCCGTTTTTATTTGGATATGGACTAGGGATTAAAGTCAAATGCTCTAGCTTACAAAACAAAATTTATTCTCAAACTAAATCTAGTAAAGAATACAAGGTACTGCAGTACATAAACAATCAAAGCTAAAGAGAATACAAAAGAGTCATTTTCTCCAAAAGTAAAATCCAATAATAAAAATATGCATGAGAGTATAGTAGGCCAACTCTGTGTTTTTATTTTTCAATGGATTCTTGCTTTAGCTTTTGTATTTGTCTTATATTAGATTTGTAACACTTACAGTTGCTGTTGAGGTTGTGGTGGTGAGTATGTAAGTCGCAGAAAAGTGGGAGGGGTCTTAAATTAAAGGTCTTGACCCCAGGGACTCGGGAAAAATAGCAGAATTCCCATAAAGTTACCAGAAAACAAGATATAACGTAAAACATCCACCATAAGAAAAGCATGGGGTGGGGACTGAAAAACGTCTGCATTCTAATCAGCTGTTATTTATTTGCAGTGGGCGCGTTCTGCGAACATCTACCAGTGCACCGGTGCATGTTCCCAGAACGCGCTCAGTGTTTACATTTATTCCGAAAGTCAATGTTGTTAAATAATATTTCAAAATGAAATGTATTTGTTTAATTTTTTGTTTCCCGTTTTTATAATGAGTGAAGTAACTAGACAGGGTAGGGGAAGACCTGCAAGACGTAGAAGAGTATTTAGGAATTCAACTGACACAAGAAATGCTGAAAGAGACCGTCATGTATGGCCTAACTATCAAAGAAATCCACAAGCTGTTTTACAACCTGCCTTGAGAGAACGCTGGAAAATGAGTTGAGTGTTGTTTCTCACAATCTAGGTCCTCTTAACAGCGCTCGCATGCTTTGTGGTCATTGTGGAGCATTTCACTTCGCAAAAGAGGCCACAATTAAATGGACATTTCAACCATCTTACCACAATGGACTCATTAACATGCTGCAACCACAATTAAATGATAAACTAAAAGAAATGTTTTTACATGATTCTAACATCATAAAAAACGTAAGGCATTACAACAGTGCAATGGCTTTTGCATCGCTTTCCGCTACACAAAAAGAGATTCCGGGAAATGGGACTGTTTTAAAATTCAGGGACAAATTCATAGACATATTTCTGACTTACTACCACAAAATGGGGAGTTGCCTTCAAAGTTCATTAATTCCTAAATACGACAACTTAAGTCCAAAACATGGCATCTTTTCAATCTATATACACAGTTACTGTTGTCCAATAAAAAGCAAGGTAGTTAGTATGGTAGTCTAATTTCTTTAAGTATTAAGCACTTAACCTTGTAATTTATTCTTTGACCGTTGGGGTTGGACTGTGCCTGTGAAGCACTTCGGACCATGGTGCCTGGAGAATGTGCCTTTGAACTTTAGATTGAAATCTTTGGATGACGTTCATATTTGATTCACTGCATGGGTGTCCCCCACAGTTGGATATAGTACGTCCACACTGGTTTCAGAACAGTTTTAATAGCAATTTATTTTCTGTTGTTAATTTTGAATTTTTATTTAATAGCCAAGAAAGATTTCTAAATTTTAAATGTAACTAAATTCTCTTGTTCCAGATATGGCTTTTCCAAGTAAGCCTTCTGTCAAGGGTCATGCTGACATGTTTACATGTTGTTTTATTCACAATTTGCATTGTGGTTCAAGTGTGTTCCTTATGTTTTGTGTTTATTTCTAAAGTTATGCGCTTAATCTGTACCAATAATATTAGTGAGTAGTGCCAAAAGTGGTGTATGGATTTCATAACCATTATTTTCCTAGAAACCGTTCTATTTAACAACAGACTCTGTTACTAGTAAATATTCATATAGCTTAAACTCACACCTTTTTATTTATATTTTTTTAAATATTGACATAATAGAAGCTAAATTAATGGACTTTTGAAATTCTTTTGTAATTTGCACCAATAGCGGAACTATTGGTTCATAACTACACGGGACCCTGTGTGGCTGCACCTCTTGCACATGCTTAAGGCCGGCTCTGCGTCTTCCGTTTTTATTTGGATATGGACTAGGGATTAAAGTCAAATGCTCTAGCTTACAAAACAAAATTTATTCTCAAACTAAATCTAGTAAAGAATACAAGGTACTGCAGTACATAAACAATCAAAGCTAAAGAGAATACAAAAGAGTCATTTTCTCCAAAAGTAAAATCCAATAATAAAAATATGCATGAGGTCCAGAGTGTCAAATGGTCCAAAAACGTTTAAGCAATTTCTATAAAGCCAGCTCTAGACATGCGCCATTCGCCAAGCACCGAGCAGCAACTCGCCGAATAGTGAGTAGTGTGGATAGGTGTTTGTCTATTTGGCAAGCAGCAAATGTTCATGCTCGTGTCTTCCCGTTCATTGTCGGTATTTTTGCACACATCAAAGTAAACAAATATTTCCTATTCCCGAAACAAACAGTTGATTAGAAAACAACACGTGTGTAGACGTCTACTCGTTAATCGGCAAATAGCAAGACAACTAGATGCCGAACGTCAAATATTTTGTGCTTGGAGACTGGCGAATGTCTAGAGCTGCCTTTAGACTAAAATGATACTTTGGACCATGCTACAAATCACATTGTATTACTTCAACAAAAAACTGCAGAATAACTAATAACTGTTACAACTCAATGTACACAACACATGACTAAATTAATGTTAAATAATGGCACAGGAAGTCAATAATCAGTAATCAGGTACAGACATACAGATATAATAATAACCAAAGGTATTTTAAACATAGGAGAAAATGCAGAAGCTTACCTATAGCTTTAGCTTTAGCTTTTAGCTTTAGGTTAATTTAAACACCTAAATAGGTTTTTAAAATTTTACATTTATTTTCATATTTTATGTTAATTAAAAGATTGAATAGGTAGGAGAGTAATAAAGCATTATATTAATTTTCATTCTATTTGGAAGGGGTTTGTCTCTTTTTTACTTGAATTGAGTTTATACATACAACAGTCAAAAAAGTACCTGAAATGAATTTCTGTAGACATTTAGCGCGATTGTCAGCGGTAAATTAGCCTTGCAGTAGTTAGTACGAATCCTGGTGAAGGCATATCTGTAGGGGAAGTAAAGCTGACAAGCCTTAGTCTAGCATTGTAAAGCGCTTTTCATGTACCTGCAAGGCCAGGTTGTCGGTTACTGTTGGTCGTGTCCCTGCATTGAAAAATTACGTTTCGTGAACAGCGTGTGAAAATTAAGTTCTGTTTTTTACTTAAATACCCCTGCTGCAGCAAACCTGCCGACTAAGTGAATTTCCATTTGCCTGGATTGATTTTCAATTAATCTATTATATTAAAATTTATGTTTAACGAGTACCTAGGTACCTAGGTTAGCTGCTACAGGGAAACTAATAAAGTGTGTTTTTTATTAAAATAGCAATAGCTTAGTATGAAATAAATAAATCCGTCAAGTTTGATCAAAATATATCCATAAACAAGCCAACTACAACATTTTACAATATTCCCCAGAACAATAACATAGGAATTTTAATTAAAATTTTTGAATTTTCCCCGTAACCAATCACCGTACAAAAACACTTTGATTTACTAAATTATTTGGTTTTTTTAAGCTCTTTGAAAATGTCTGGAGAAAAATTGAAAAATTTTGTGTTTTAAGGGTAAAAAATGAGAAAACCCCATTTTTACCCCATAAAACCCCCTGTTAAACCCTTTTCCCATGGTCTGATCATGCCGGTTCGCGAACTCATTCAAGTTTATCCCGCCTTACACCTTCAAACCAAATTTTATCAAATTTGGACAAAAATTACTCAAGTTATAGTCTTGTTGTAGTTATAAGACTAAGTGTTATAGACTAAGTTATAGTCATTTCATTTCATTTCATTTCATTTTTCATTTCATTTCATTTCATATATATAGGTGCATATATAAAAATTTGAACGAATGGTGTTTTTGGCCTCTGGGGACATCAAAATGAAAAAGTGAATCGGTCCCGGGCCTAGGTCTTACCATGAGACCTACAGTAATAGCTACTTCCCTTTAGGGAAATTCGCTAAAAACCACCTAGTGAGATTATTCAGTTGTTAATTCAACCTAATAGAGAAGAGGTGATGAAGAAAAGTCAAGTTTATGAGTTTGAGGCACAAACGATTTGTGAAGGCCGCAAAAGTATTGACGATGACCCTCGTAGTGGACGTCGTTGAACAGCAGTCAATGACGTAAACATTGAGGGAGTATGACAAGTTGTGTGTGAAAATAGGAGATTAACAATCGATGAAATTGCATTTGAGGTACATTTATCTCATGGAAGTGTTCACACCATCCTTTATGATCATTTGAACATGCATCGAATTTGTTTGAGAATGTTTCCAAAAATACTGTCTCCTGAGCACAAAGAAACTCAAATGATAATGGCTGGTGAATTCATTCATATAACCAATGTAGATCCAAAATTTTTTGATTTAAATTGTGACTGGTTACGAAACATGGTGTTATCTTTACGATCTTCTGATAAGTTTGTGCCACTCAGTTTGTGGTACACGACCGACAGTAACCGAGAAAGTAGACTTGCAAGTACGCAAAAAGCGCTTACCAATGTTGCACTTTGGCTCGTCAGCTATAACCCCACTACCGATTCCTTCCCCAAAAGCCGTACTAACTACTACAAGGCTAATTTACCGCTGACGATCACGCTAAATGTCTATAGAAATTCATTCCAGGAACTTTTTGACTGTGGTATTATAATTTGTGAGTGTGATGAGTGATTATAGCATATTATGTGTTTTCATGCCATGTATGATTAAACCTGTCTCCTGACCTACACTGGGCCATAAACCCAACCCTGTGACACCAATATGTAGCTGGTTGTCTTGTCCTTATTAAGAAAAATGCAGTTCAGAGTGAGGCAAACCAGTTAATCCAGAAGACAGGCCAGTCAGACTTAATAATCAAAACACCCAGAGAACAAAAGAAACAGACAACTTTACCAATTTCATTTAACACTTTTCTTCAGGCTCTTACACTTTACTTTAATTTGATAAGCAATCTTTAATTAATTGTGTTCCAACACATTAATGACATCAATGGACATTAGTGGTGAGTGTCTGTTTGGGCTGTATTCATGTAGTGGCTTAACATATTTATGCTGAGCATTAAAACAATGTTTGGCATAATATAAAACTTCATAGTGGGATAGTAATCAATATCGAACCACTTTGGCAATTTTTTATTTTTTATTAATACTTCTACAATAAAGTTCTGTAATTTAATTTGTGATTGTAATTAACCTAGAAAGTTAGAGAGCAATAGTCTAACATTTTTATAAAATGAAAATTCCACCAGATCACCACATTTACTCAGGCTAGGCTAGAGGGAGTTAAGTCTAATATGTACATTAAAGATCTCTCCTAATCTGTTCAAATGTTTTACCTTTTGTTTCTGGCATGATGAAACAGGACAGAAATGATCCTAGAAAACAAGTGAAGGTAAAAAATAGGAAATTTACATATACTCCCAAGTTATCAAAAACAGTTAAATAAAACTTCAAAACAATTATACCAACAAAAGTGGTGTAGATATTAAAAATGCCAGAAGCCGTACTTCTCGTGTTTGATGTAAAAAGTTCAGAGGAGTAAGCAGTATTTACTGGGAATATACCAATCACTGAAACTCCAGAGAGAACAATCATTGCTACCGGAGGAATCCAGTTTAAATTATCTACATTTACTAACAACACAAACTGGCAGAAGTAGTATATAGTAGTGCAAAGTACCAGTACACCTGATATTGTACAAGAAATGAACAACATCGGTTTGCGACCAAATTTGTCAAGAGTGAATAAACTAAAAACACAGCTGATGAGCATCATTGCTCCCATTATTATTGTAACATTGTCGGAGGAAATGAAAAAATTATTATTAGTTGCTTCTAATGTTTGTGTGGAGTAAACTGATAGTGGTATCACCCCACAGCACTGCCTAATATACCCAATAAGGAACATAATAATCATAGCTTTTCTGTCAGTAGGATTAGCCACTAATTCATTCCATTTTACTTTTACTTTTTTATCCTCTTCAATACACTTCCTCATTGTTTCTAATTCCTCATCGGTCTTTTTTTCTGTAGAGTTCAAAAGCCAAGTAAGGGATTTCTTAGCACTTTCTAGATCATTCCTCATAAGATAATAATATGGACTTTCAGGTTGCCAGATGAAAGCGAGGAAGAATATGACACTGGAAGATGCTGATAAGTAAGTGAAATTCATTAATGAAAGTGCTGGCCCAAATATATACTCTAAAAGAAAGCCAAACCACCAGAGCAAGTAGAATGCGCTTGTTACAGCACCACGATGTGCGGGGCTGGCTATTTCACCGAGGTAGACAGGGACTATTGTGTACACCACTCCTATTGCCAAACCTTGTATAATCCTTCCGACATTCAACGCTAGGATTGTTTTGCAGTAAATGATAACAACCCATCCCAGGAAAAATAAAGGAGCCGATGTTAGGATTACAATTTTGCGGCCAAAGTGGTCTGCAATGTAACTTGCAGGTAGAGGACTGATGAAGTTGCCCAACTCGGGCATAGAAACCATCCAAGAGGCTTCCTCAGAAGTCATCGGTATCTCGCTGTCAGGTCCTAGGAGATGAGGAAGAGTTGGAGTCAACCAAGCCCAGACAGCAGCACAAGCCAGGACTCCCAGGCTTGCTGGAACACAACACAATTAATTGTGTTAAACAATTACATAAAATAACAAAAGTAGAGGCTTCCTCCCGGAAGTCATCGGTATCTCACTGTCAGGTCCTAGGAGATGAGGGAGAGTTGGAGTCAACCAATCCCAGACAGCAGCACAAGCCTGGACTCCCAGGCTTGCTGGAACACAACACAATTAATTGTGTTAAACAATTACATAAAATAACAAAAGTAGAAGCTTCCTCCCGGAAGTCATCGGTATCTCACTGTCAGGTCCTAGGAGATGAGGGAGAGTTGGAGTCAACCAAGCCCAGACAGCAGCACAAGCCAGGACTCCCAGGCTTGCTGGAACACAACACAATTAATTGTGTTAAACAATTACATAAAATAACAAAAGTAGAGGCTTCCTCCCGGAAGTCATCGGTATCTCACTGTCAGGTCCTAGGAGATGAGGGAGAGTTGGAGTCAACCAAGCCCAGACAGCAGCACAAGCCAGGACTCCCAGGCTTGCTGGAACACAACACAATTAATTGTGTTAAACAATTACATAAAATAACAAAAGTAGAGGCTTCCTCCCGGAAGTCATCAGTATCTCACTGTCAGGTGAGCGCTATATATAAAATAGCACTAGAAAAACGCTTTAACGAACGAAAGCACCCTCCAAGCTGTTCTGCTATCTGCCCACACATGCGCAATAGCATCTTTTGCTACTGCATATCTTTTAGTTTTGTTTTTCACTCCAAAAACGAACTATCAATTACAGAATGGAAGAAATGGAGATGAGGGAGAGTTGGAGTCAACCAAGCCAAGACTTGGGACTTTTAGGGAAGTGCGCTAAAATCATTTAAATAAAATGTTTGGAATGTTGATGATATCTTAATTTTCAAATTCAATGTTCGAAAATAACACCTAGATGTATAGTTATTTAACAATTTAACATGTTTAGCCTCTGCTCTGGATCATGGTGGTTCTAAATAAACTTTTTAATAGTTACTTAGAACCTCGATCTTCCTCAATCAACATAACATATTATTTGCATTTGTTTACTAATAAAACCTTTTAAGTAAAACAAGTTACTGTGCCGCAGCCTATTTGTTCTGAAGAAATTTTAAAATATAGAAACTAACGCATATAGAACCCATAGCTGTCAAAATAACAGAGTTGGCTAACTGTCGATTAAAAAAAAGAAATGTCCAGTATTTACCATATCAATTTTATTTACAAAATTACATAGAAAAGATTTTAATTTTAAAATACTAGCTACTTGGGATGTATAAAAAAATAAAATGAAAGCTCAATAGAGCAATGGGGGAATTGCGGAACCATCTTCAAATTGAATGCTTCGAATTTTACGTCTAGTTCCCCATAGCCTAAGCAAAACTGCTTGAATTATGGAAAGCTGGCTTTGGATCCTCAACCATCCGATAATTTGGGAGTATGGTTTTCTCCATTTTACAGCCAGGGCTTAGTTTGTTCTCCTCTGAAACGCTTCATATTCTTTGTGGGGGACTCCTTCCGTGGAACATATTAATGGTCTGAAGCTTCCTCTGATGTCTTCGGCTGCTTTGTCATATTTATTGTGTTTCTGAACGGCATGGTTTCGAGATATTGTTCCCCATTCTTGGTTGGTGTAAGAGGGAGCGTCAGCATTAACAATGGGATTATCAAAAAATGCTACTCTCTCAGCCTCCCAAATACCATTAACTTTAAAATCAGCTTTTAAAGCAGGCACATTGTTTGCAGGGTCAGCTTCTCTCATAATAGGCTCAACTTCAACCCCTTTCCAGGCCATATTTGCTATTGCAGCACAGTGGTCTCGATGTTGATCATGCCCATGTTTGACCAATCCTCCTTTTTTACAATTTAAAGCATGTGTAAGATTCATAGGTAGATCACAACCATCACATCGTACTGGTAAATTTCTTAGTGTGCGACCATAGCGAATTGACAAAGCATCTCTGAATTGATCCGGGGACAAATCCGTATGATCAGATGCACATGGTGTCACAGTTAACCATTGGCTAGTATTCCCTGCTACGATTCTAATTATTGGCTTCTTTTGAGTTTCAGGAAGTAATTGCATAATTCGTTCATTATTTGCTTTAGCCAAAGTGTCTTTTTCTAGTTTTCTCTTCTTTTTTACAGCTTGTAGAGTTGATAATACATGATCATTAATCTTTAATGGTTGTCCATTTTTAATGGCTAATATTAATTTTTCTGTGAATTTTTTTATGTTTTAAATGAAATACCATCGTTCTTTGTCGGGTCCTGAATATTTAAGCCTCCAAAACGAGTAGGGAGAGAGAACAAGGCATGTTCAAGTTCAGAAATCTCTTGTTCGAAAAGGTTGGGAGTGAAATGGCGATGTATGGCAGTTTTTAAATCTTCGTATTCTTCTCTAAATCCCTCTGTTACTCTTTGGAGAAATGCCCATTCATTTTGTAATGACTTTGTAAATGCAGTATACGCTGCTTGAGGACTTTTATGTGCAGCTATGCCAAATTTCTTTATACAATCAACCCATTTTTTACTTTTTCTTTCACGATTTTTTTCTTTTCTTCTGAGCTACCAATAATACCCCCTAAAAACCTGTACGATGTCACAATTTTCACTTGTAGGTCTCTGAAAATTTCTTCCGCTTTTTCTTTATATTCAGGTTTTACTATCAAGACACTTTTCTTAGGTTCTGGGTAATACCCCCATTTTGGCCCTTCAACACGTAAAGCGTTAAACCATTCTCTAACTTTAAGTGTTTCACCGAAACATGCAGAATCATCAGCATACCAGTTTTGCTTTCAATTTAGGCTTTTTGTTTTTTTACCAAAGGTAATATGCCAATTGCATACATTAGCATGCCTAAAGGGTCTCCCTGAGTGGTTCCTTCTTGACTAAGGATGATTTTATTGCTTCCTCTAAACATAATGGTTGCATAGCCTTGGTATGTATTGAATAGGAAACAAGCGCAACGAGGCCAAAGCACCCTAGCATTCCACAGAGTTAAAGGCCTGCTCAAGGCGTTGAACACATTTGAAGCATCTACAAGTAAAATACAATTTTGGTTATTTTCATTGAATAGGTCCGTCACAGCATGTATAGCACCTTCTATTCCAGCTTTCGTTCTGGCGCAGAGCTGGTCAGATCCACATATTTCTTGAACATCGTCACCTGTTACAAAAGCCATGGTTTTTGCACATAGTCTCTGCAAATAGAAAATGCAGAAGAAGAAAAGAAAAGAAAGTATATGTCAGCTTGCGAGAGCCGTAATGCCTCTTTCACTCCTTTGATAACATCAGTCTGCGGAATCCTAGGCAACGATTTTCAAACACTAATAAGAGCTCTTGCTGAGAGGTTGTCAGAAAAATGGGTTAAGCCTTACAGCCTGGTAGTTAATTGGATCAGAACAAGACTAACTTGCTCAATTTTAAGGGCAACAAGTATGTGCCTGAGAAGATCTCGGAAAAAATGGAGATCTGCTTGAGAATTCGAAGATGGAGCAGGCATCCAACATACATAGGTATTGAAATAATCAAAATTTTTAGTAATATCTGTAAATTTAGACTTAAATGTCTTGTAATAGTAATATCTGTAAATTTAGATTTATTTGTCTTGTAAATATCTATAAATAGAATATTTGCTGGATGTTTTTTTAGCGAATTTCCCTATAGGGAAGTAGCTATTACTCCGTAGGTGGCATGGTAAGACCTAGGCCCGGGACCAATTTAGTTTTTCATTTTGATGTCCCCAGAGGCCAAAAACACCATTCGTTCAAATTTTTATATATGTGTATATATATATATATGTGTCCGTGAACACGATAACTTGAGTAATTTTTGTCCGATTTTGATGAAATTTGGTTTGAAGGTGTAAGGCGGGATAAACTTGAATGAGTTCGCGAACCAGCATGATCGGACCATGGGAACAGGGTTTTACGGGGGGTTTTATGGGGTAAAAATTTGTTTTTCTAATTTTTTACCCTCTAAACACAAAATTTCCCAATTTCTCTCCAGACCTTTTTAAAGAGCTTAAAAAAAAGAAATAATTCAGTATATCCAAGTGTTTTTGTACAATTATTGGTTACGGAGAAAATTCAAAAAATGTTATTTTAAAATTCCCATGTTATTCTTAAGGAGAATATTGTAGCCTAAAATGTTGTAGTTTGCTTGTTTATGGATATATTTTAATCAAACTTGGTAAATTTATTTATTTTATGCAAAGTTATTCATATTTTACCAAAAATACACTTTTTTACCCTCCCTGTAGCACCAAGCCTAGGTACTCATAAAACCTAATGTTAATTAAATACATTCAATTGAAAATCAATTCAGGCAAATGGAAATTCGCTTAGTCGGCAGGTTTGCTGCGACGGGGGTATTTTTCATTCATATAAGATTACGGGTCTTGAACCCTGATACGAATACTACTGTACATGAATTTCAATAATATGTATTGGGAAATAAATATTGTGATTTAACCGAAAAAAAAAATCCTATGGTAAAATGGTAAATTTGGTAACCATGGCAACCAAAAACAGGTGAGAAATATTTCATAGTCATAGTTGCTGTGGGTCCTAAACAGTTACAGTGCATATCATTTTAGAGATAGAATGTCCAGTAAACATTGAGCAACGTGGCGGTGAGCACTTTTTCCATTGCCACATTGGAGTTTAATATATATCATTTTGGATCGTACCCAGTGTTCGATTTGCAGGGGAACGGGCGGGACAGAGTTCTCGTACACCTCTCTTCCAGAAAGATAAAAATATTGACAATAGGTAAATAGGTACAAATCACATTAAATCAGTAACAGATCATGCACTTCATATTTTACAAATCGAGCACTGATCCTACCAAACACTCAATAGCTAATCACACAGCTGACACCAGCAAGACAATCAAAACTAAAAAGTCCATTTAATAGTTGATCAAAGTCTTCGATATAACAAACTGATATTCCTTCTCAGCGCTAGGAGAATGTGTTAACAAACGAAATGGAACCTCCCAGCTGTTCTGCCATCTGCCCACGCATGAGCAATAGCATCTTTTGCTACTGCATATCTTTTTATTTGGTTTTTCACTCCCAAAACGAACTATCAACTACAGATTTTACCTCTAATGGAGTTGTTAAAACCTTTTATAATCGAGGAACATTTTGTGCTTGTTCTATATAAAATGTGTATATTCTATTCTATGATGAGTCCAGATTCAACTGATTGTATCCTATACTCTAATACGAGCAATGTTTGCTTGTATGTATGTATGTATGCTTGCTTGCTTGCTTGTACCAAGATCTCGAAAACGGCTCCGACGATTTTCTTCATATGTTGTAAATAGATTATTTTTGGCCTAAAAACGAGTTTACTACAGTTAGAACTGCCAACAAAAATCTAATAACGTAGAAAAATGAAACTGAAAGTCACATTTTTTTACATTAGTCTTATGGGTTGCTAAGTAACCATGTTGGTTGAATTAAATAACAAGGAAAAAGTAAACAAAGACTTGAAGTTGTAGCATGTGTTCATAATAAGCCAACTACCCACCGTATACTAGCAAATTACAAATACAGTACAAAAGGGAAAACATCACTTGTTACTATTGAGCAAAGATTATACTGAAGAATACTCGAGTATAGGGAAGTGTGGGATCTGTTTATGACGATTAGATTAAGGTCTGCAATCCTAAAATGCTATGGGAAGGGAAGGAAACAGATCCGCGACGTAGGAAGTGGTGAAGGAAGTAGTAAAGGAGAGTTGCCCGGAGTGTGGGATCTGTTTATGACGATAAGATTAAGGTATTTGCAATCATAAAATGCTATGGGAAGGGAGGGAAACTTGTCCGTGACTTAGCAAGGAAGGAAGTAGTAAAGGCGAGCAGTCCGGAGTGTGGGAACTGTTTATGACAATAAGATTAGGGTATCTGCAATCCTAAAATGCTATGGGAAGGGAAATAGTCAGGGCGAGTAGTCCGGAATGTGGGAACTGTTTATGACGATTAGATAAGGGTATTGGTAATCCAAAAATGCTTTGGAAAGGGAAGGAAACAGGTCCGCGACGTAGGAAATGGTGAAGGAAGTAGTAAAGGCGAGCTGTCTGGAGTGTGGGAACTGTTTATGACGATTAGAAAAATTAAATTAAGGTATTAGCAATCATAAAATGCTATGGGAAAGGAGGGAAACTTGTCCGTGACTTAGCAAGGAAGGAAGTAGTAAAGGCGAGCAGTCCGGAGTGTGGGAACTGTTTTGTTTATGACGATTAGATTAAGGTATCTGCAATCCTAAAATGCTATGGGAAGGGAGGGAAACAGGTCCGTGACGTAGGAAGTGGTGAAGGAAGTAGTCAAGGCGAGCTGTCCGGAGTGTGGGAACTGTTTATGACGATTAGATAAGGGTATTGGCAATCCTAAAATGCTATGGGAAGGGAAGGAAACAGATCCGCAACTTAGGAAGTGGTGAAGGAAGTAGTAAAGGAGAGTTGCCCGGAGTGTGGGATCTGTTTATGACGATAAGATTAAGGTATTTGCAATCATAAAATGCTATGGGAAAGGAGGGAAACTTGTCCGTGACTTAGCAAGGAAGGAAGTAGTAAAGGCGAGCAGTCCGGAGTGTGGGAACTGTTTATGACAATAAGATTAGGGTATCTGCAATCCTAAAATGCTATGGGAAGGGAGGAAAACAGGTCCGCGACGTAAGAAGTGGTGAAGGAAGTAGTAAAGGCAAGCAGTGCGGAGTTTGGGAATGGATTTATGTATCTGCAATACTAAGACTGCTTTCAGAGTAAACTAATGATTTTCCCCAAGCAAAGCTCGGTCCCCAGGTACTAGAAATTAACTTTCCAAATGTCAAAATATGTAAGCTAATAAATCGCTAAGAAAAATCATAAGACTGCAACAAAAACTGCCGTTTTTAATTCATACGTTGTGGGCCTAGAGTAGCATTTTTACTCTCTTAGGGGGTGGAGTAAAAATCAGCTATTGTCAACTCAGTTGTAAATTTTTATTGTAAACAAAATTACATATATAAAAAGTATGTATCGATTGTTTAATAGATTGTAGAAATTTAAATTGAAAACTAGTTAGAAGTAGTTTTGAATGCTAGGTTATCTAAAAGAAAACCAGTTTAGTTTTGCAACATAGTTCAAATAATGGAGTAATATGACAAATAAATATATAGTTTATCACATGGGCAAAATTTGTCATTTAGACCCTCCATCATTTTCCAACCTCGGCTTCGCCTCAATCGTAAAAATTGAGCTCGGCCTAATCTTTCAGTTTAAAAACAAAACAATATATAGCATGTAAGGTTAATTATTGAAGTGCACTTTTGTAAATACTTGAAAGTCAACATACCTGCTGAGCCTGCTATCAGCTGCCTACATAGACCTGGGTTGTTTTGACCTTCCATCTAGCAGCCAAGTTGTGGTGTCTAATATTATCAAAGCCAATAACTCGCGAGATATACATTCACAACAGCAAACTGATTATAGACCGTAGGTATTATACTCTTGTATAATCTTCTTAGGAGATTACTTATGAAAGAGCTAATTTTAAGAAAAGATCTCAAATTGTAACAACACTATCTCATTCTTATCAACACACTTGACCTTAAACATTCTTAGGAAATCATGTAATTTGTTTGTATGGTTAAGTAATACAAATGTAAAATTTGTGTTTTTCTATGGTTTATAGTGAACATGAAAAATTAACAATGTAGTGAGGACGGAGACACTGTAGCAAGACTGGGCAAGGACGAGGAGAGTGATGAAGGCCATGTAAACTGGATACTGATGAGAAATGAGTTATAGGATGGCCAGCTGAAGTGCTGGAGGCTATACAGCTTGTTTTCCTTCCAAAATCCGACTTGATAGTAGTTATATCTTAATGGATTTTTCATTTGTACCCCTTTCTCTTCTGTTTGATCACAAAGTGCTTTTTTTTCTTATTGAGTTACAGATAAATTGACTTGTAACTTATTAGTTGACAAATAACATATGAGAGCAATAAGTTCAATCCCGATATATCCACACAAAATAATATATCATTATTATATTATTATTTATTTTAATAATAATTTTATTCATTATTATTATTATATTATAATACATTGATATGGATTATTAATTTTTATAATTTATTATATGACACAATATTATCCCTCTCAAATAAGTATCAAGAGATCTGAATAAGTTTGTGTTTCAACGGAAAAGACCCAAAAATGATTTCCTTCCGAAATTTAGGATTTATTTTTTGGTAACTTTATATATCTTTGATCTTGTTTCATGCATGTAGAAAAGTTTTGGCATAAACAAAAAATAATATTGGCTAATTTAAAAACAATTTCATGTAACTTAACACAGATAGTTGAATTAAATTTAAATGTTTAAAAATTGGAAACCATAACCGGACCTTAGGCAGTGACATCTATCTATCTATCTATAATATTAAAACGAAACAGGGTTTTTTTATTTCACGATTCTGAATCAACCACTCGACGGATTTTCATGATTTTTGTGTTGAAAGAAAGATAATTTTGAGAACTAGGGAATGTCGAAGCCATAATTTTAGTTTAGGGTCCCAGTAATTTATAAATTAAGTTTTAATTTTTGAAAAGTCTAGCAGCCGACGCTAAGATTCTAAACTAGCTTTTGGTGTAATATAATTTGTTTAACATAACAGCTGTAAACATTCAGCGTTTGTAACACAAATTCAGCATTTGGATAAAATTAAAAGACATACTAAGGGTTCACTTATTTATACTATGTGTAATGCTAATCATTGATACATTCAATCCTTCGATAAGAGGATGACAGATTATTTAAATATACATAGGTAACATACTAGGATGTTTAAAGGATTTTTTAAATAAATCTTTGTAATCTTCGGTTTGTTTTAGTGCAATCTAATTTTCTTTAACTAACAGCTGGTTAGATAGAAAATGCTCTGTAGTACCAGTTATGAGGTTATTTTATTTACTCTGATTTGTCATTGATTTTTAGGAAATAAGTAAGATTAGTAGACCACCGAGAAAAGTAACACCATGGATGTATACAAGTCGAGGCTCTGTACACGAGTCTTAAAAAAAGGATATGCAAATTATTATACTGCTCAACTTTTTTAGGAAAGGGTAGGAAAATCCATTTTTTACACGTTTTAAAAAGTTGTTTGGCGTGTGTTTAGTTGTGGTTACGTTTGGAGGAGCTGAATATTTTATAGTTCAAATAAATGAATATGGGGAATTACGATGTACATTGATTCAATGAGGGTGGTTTAATTATCAAGGATATTAGAACTGATAACGGTATGGATAATAAACATAGACAATTAATTACGTCACTAGCTTTACTAGCATGTTTACGTTTTAAATTCCTTCAACATGTGATCAGTTCTTTTTTTATATTATTTTATTTTTGACTCAGCTGTTTACAAAACAAACTATATGTTGTTGTTTTTACTTTTCTTTGTTTACACTTATTTATTTAGCAATTGATGCAGTGAAATTGATATAAAGGATATGTGTGGACGATTAGTTTAATGATGTCAGGACACTAACCTTATAATTATGTGTACTGTGAATTTTATTGGATGCTTTCGTTTTATTTTAGGAAGTTTCTATTCAGACCCACTGGAAATTGTGTATAGTATGAGTAATTGTATTGTGGTGATATTGATTAAGGAAGAGGCAATTATGCGATGGAATTGGAAGGTGATATCGTTGACTAGGCCTATACACTTCTCAAATTGATAAATTACTTCCTACTGTAGGCTGCAATAAAATTTGTTTTTATGCGAGTAAGCTGTTCTGAATTATACACAGTTTTAACTGACTACTCCCGTACGTAGGACGGGCTAACACCTCGTATACTATTATAAAGAAGAGGGTGGTGTCTGTGTGTGTGTGTGTGTGTGTGTGTGTGTTTGTACGAGCTAATCTCAAAAACTACTGAACCGACTGGGCTCAAATTGCACACAAAAGCTACAGCTACGAGGATACATGTACAACTATTCCCGTTTTGATATTGACCTAGGGCTCTGCCCCGTGGGCTTTCAAAAATTTGAGGTGAGAGATTTAAAAGTAAATATTGATTGATGGTATCCATGGTAAAAAAGAACAAACCTACAAGGTATAAAAACGTAAACAAGAAGAACTAACTAACTGTCAATAGTTATTTGTGTAACTAGTGAGCAAAGTGGCACTTTGCTGCACACGAGAGCAATGTTTACTCGCCCGCGGCTCGTGCGGAATGATCTCGAGTGCAGCAAAGGCCTTTTGCACTCGTGTTACACATTATATTTTTCCTACAGTCACAACATGAAATGACAGGTTAAATTGTAGTTATAATAGTCAATCAGCTGCTCATAGTATTATTATCTTTAAGTGTTGCTAACCTATTTCCAAGCGTACACGGATAAGGTGCATAATAGAACCATGCTGTTTTGTGTTGTTTCGTTGGAATCCTGATGTGCGCCAAAGTATAAACCGTACGACCGTACGATAAAGTATAAATATGCACTATGCAGCAATTAGCAGCTTTCTGTACTATAAACAGTACAAGGAAGCCAACTTTGTCGGGTGACTGTAGGAAAATGAATGTTGATTTCACAATTTCACACAGCTGGTGCAAACATATTAAATACTGTACAAATAGAACAGAGAGGGTAAGGATTATAAATAAATTGAAAATAATGATGTCACTAGCCCGAATGTAAACATCATTTAACATTACTTAAATGGAACTGTCAAACTATATGTTAATGTAATTCCATTATAGGATTCCTTCAGTTACTAATAACTGAAGTCTATACTGAGTCTGTTCTAATATTTGTGAAATGCTGTAATAATATTTTACAGGGAATAATTCATTGTAAAATAAATCATTCATGGATGTAGGAAATAATTAAGATTCTATAATCATTGCCGTATCAACCGAGGCCCTTTTCCTGAGTTTTATTTTTTTTGATTTATTTTTGTGTAAACAGTAAAATAACCCCCCTGCTACAGCAAACCTATAGACTGAGCGAATTTCCAATTGCCTGATTATAATTTCACTAAAATATGTTAGAAAATTACCCTATTGACAGATTTGGAACTATTGTGATAGCTTTTTGTTTGCAGTGCAAACCGTTAAACACATTATTTTATTATACCTTAAAATCTATCATTGGTTTTGTATTGTAGGTAGCCTAAATAAGTATTCACAGTATGAGTTAACAAAAACGTACTATTATCAAGTTACACAAAAAAATTTTTGTCACACTGAGTTCCAATCACCCTGTATACATATATAACATTATGAACGGATGGTGTTTTTGGCCTCTGAGGACATCAAATCGAAAAAGTAAATCGGTCCCTGGTCCAGGTCATGAGACCTACGGTAATAGCTTATTTCTTATATTCGTGCACATGTCAAAAGACAGCGTCTTGGATGCTAGTAGCCTAGTATATTGCGCCACATTTGCACCAATGCCCCACAACCGATTTTGTGCATCCCGGGAGGCAAAAAGTCATAGGACAAATTTCAGCGTCCCAGCTACTCTGGTGGCTTTTTTGGCATCCAACGCTGGCATCCCTAGTCTAATCGCTCCCATTTGATTTAATGCCCCGCTAGCATCCCAGACTCCAGCGTCCTAGCACAATCGTAGCTTAATCTGGGACTATTATGCTGGCAGGTTGTTTATCAGTGCAAGTAATACCAATAGTGTCATAATAAAATATACTGTATTATTTAGATCTAAAAATTAACGTAGTAAATTAATGGTTATTTAAAGTAGTCTGTCTTATACTATTGCTGATTAGTATTATCTACATTCTGGTTCTGATTCCCATAGATTTGTTTGGGTCTTTTATCAGGATCAACATTTTTTGGCAGTATTTCAGTATGCTTAGAATAATTAGTATTTGAAGTAAGGGAGACAGATATTTCTTCATCATCTCTTGCCTTGAGACCTGGTATTCTTTTTGGAGTTTTTGAATTTGATGCCCTCACATTAGTTTGTGGATGCACTTTCACATTTGGTGTTACATTAGTTCCGTCATTGTTTCTAGCATTGACTTTTCTTAAAGTCGCCTTAGCATCAATCAATTGTTGATTTATAGCTTTATTTCGTTTAATTGATCTATCTTTACTAGTTTTTGTGGTAACTTCATATGACGATCTGACAGGAATATTTTCTATTATTGTAACCTCATTAACTCTCAATTTTGGATTGGTTATCACTGAGACAGATTGAGGATTTTCAAATTTCTTAGTGGATGGCTTATCGGCATTTATACGTTTTTTTTCATTACGATCTGTTGAACTAGTTTGAAATGATTGTGTATCGTTTCCTTCATTTGTCCTTTCTGCTTCTTGGTAAACCAAATTTTTTTTATGAGCTCTGATATCTTCTAACCACTTTTCCGATTGAGACAGACGTTTCTTTTTAACCTTAGAGTTATCATTTTTAAACACATATTTTATGGTGCTGTACAGATCAAAACATGAACCAAATCCAAGCAAACTTGTTATAACAACAATGAGGGCTCCTTGAACAAAAGCCATACTACACCAGCGTAACTTTTATGTCTTATTACTTAAAATATATAAAACTTTAAATACTGTAAATTTTTACATGACAATGTAGGATTTTCAAAATTTTCTTTATTGAAACAATTTAGAATGTTAAGTACCTATACAATTTCATGTCCATGGATACCACTCAGTCATAAAAATAAAAAT